TCAGCAGGAGATGGGAGTGTGTCCAGTGTATCTGCATCGCTCCCAGCTCAGAGGGCACTGCTCTATCACAACACTGATACTGAAGTAAAAGGAAGTACCTGGGGCAAAAAAGAAAAAAGTAGGATGTAGCAAAAATATAATAAACTTCTGAAGTCAGAAAGCTTCCTCCTGCCTTTGCTAATGGATGTGGTAATTAGGTGCCCGTATCTGGGTCTCAGCTAGTTGCCTTTGAAGGTGGCTTAACCTGCTAGTTCTAGAAAGCTCATGGTTACAATTCTGCAAGTTTGCCTAAATACAAAGTTACATCAGCTTTAGGTGAGTAAAAGCTATTAAATTTTGCATTTCAAATTACTCTGAGGCCTTTCTCCAGCAGGTTTGAGAAGGGTTTCGTTTGCACCTATGAATCTGCAGGCCCTGTCCAAAGGGGCGTGAGGCAGACTCAGGGATGCAGGAGGAAGTACCAAGTGGCACTGATGTAATGGAATCAGAGGGCTGCTTTTCCACACACCAGCACAATCTTGGGTGCAGGCTGAGCCTGACTTTTAATTTATTACTAATTCTCTCTGAAAGGCACGCCTTCCATTCAGCAGAACACAGCTGGTGCCAGGGGCTGTTCCCACCAGCACAGGGTGGTCGGTGCCTGCAGAGCTGCCAGGAGAGGTGATCTGCGCTCCCCTGCTTCCACAACTGCTCACCTCCTGCCGTGCCCGCAGCAGATATCCAGATGGGGGGAAGGACAAGCTAAATGCAGGGTGCTGCTCCCCCTGAACACTCCCCTGGCCTACAGCAGTTTCCAGCTGGAGATTTCTTGGGCCAAGGGTGACGTCTGCGTGGGCAGTAATTCTCAGCAGATTTACTGTCAAGAGACCTGCCCTGCTGTCCCGTGAGCCCACGTGGGCTTCAGCACCCACAGCCCCCTGTGACAAGAACTGTCACCAATTACCCACGTGCTACATGAAGAACCAGCTCCTCTGCTCTGTTTCTGAACCTCCCAAGCGCTAGGTTTGATGCCCCCTGGTTCCTGAATGAAAGATCTGTGTTCACACCCTCTGCCGCCACTCCATATCTGCAGTATTTGCCCATAGCCAGCCCTTTTTCAGCCCAAAGAAGCCCACGTCACTGAGTTCCTCCAGACATGGAAGCTGCTCTACCCCAGTAGGAGAGGTAGCAGTTGTGTGGTCGAAGACAACCACAAGGTCTCTGCCTCTCTGCAACCCCTTGCGAGAAATTGCTGAAGGGAAGGTGTGGGTTTTAAAAGGCGATGTCCCAGCCTGGCGCTCTCAGCTGGGGTGGGACAGGGCTGTCCCTGCTCCAAGGACAAGAAGCAGAGGCTGCAGAAGGGCAAAGGAAATGGACAGCCACTGCTGCTGGGAGCAGGGAGCTGCGGTCTGGGGGCAATCCGCTTCCAGCAGAAACAGGAGCACTTTCTGGGCCTGTGTGGGATAGGACAAGCAACAGGAAGTGTGCTAGATGCTATTAGCAGGATCAGTTTGAGTGATTTGGACACTGTGAGGGTGATGGTCCCATGTGGTCAAGAGCTAGACAACACACAAACTTATTCCCTGGTAATAGACTCCACTTGTGTGTTTGGAGCCTGGTTTTCCTGATGGTGTCTTCATGGGATTTGTCATCAAACACCAACTCCTGGAAGAGAAAGTCTGTAGAACGGGAGAAAACAGGTGCAAGATGTCCTTGTGCATGTATGTGTCTCTAATTGCAGCTCTCTTGGCATCCTCCCCCTCAGGTGAGCAGTATGAAGAAGAAGGACCGGGCAGGAGAAAACATCGTCTGTTTGTTAGATGACTTCAGAATCCTTGGAGAGAACGGCTTCCATATCCTTCTGCTCAGAGTGCTGCAGCTCTGGGTCAGCAAAGCCTTGGCTTGCCCTGGAGAGTCACAGGACGGTGTAAAACCCAGTGCTCTGCTCCCATGGGGAGGATGAGCAGGACAGTAGCTAGTCTGGGGCACATGGAGGTGGCTGGAGGGGAGAGGTTGGATAAGGACATCTTTGGTTGCTCTGATGAAGGGCAAGAGGCTGGTGGCAGTATTTGAGGCGCGGGGTCCTTCCCTGCGATGTCTGATGAGTAACTACACAGCCCAGGGACTGCCTTTGCCTTTTGTGAAAAAATCTTTACAGCAGGTGAGAACTTGGCGGGAACGGGGTGAGGGCACCAGCTGGCTGGGGAACACGCCGTGGTCTTCATCCTGGGGTCAGCTGCTTTGAGCTCCTGTATGATCGCACTTGCAAAGAAAGGGACAATACGGAGTGAGTGCCCAAGGCAGGCATTTTTTAAAGGAAAACAGTAACTATTTATTCTAGGTGTAAGGAGACAAAACACTAGAATGCAGAGCAGGAAGTCATCACACTCCCATTTACACAGGGGCTCTGTGCGTTACTGCCCAAGCCTGCGGTCTCATTGGGTCTGGGAAGGTGCCAGGACCACCAGCCCACAGACCTGCACTGGGGACTCGGGAGTAGCACTGGTGCTCCCATCTCAGGAACCACTGAATTCTCCAGCAGTCCTGCTGCTCGCAGGAGCGGCGGGCGACAAACAGCCTGCCAGAATTATGCTTCTTGTTGGCACACCATGTGTATCTCTGCCCTCCCGCTGCCCTGAGCACTCCCCTCCGTCGCCTCGGCACCCAGCCACGGGTAGCACTGGCAGGTCCGGCAGCCTTCTGCATGGTGCCACCAAAGGCTGCTCGAGATCTCCCTCTGCGCTGACGTCTTTCCAGGGCTTTTTAAATTGCTGGTTCCGTTGGCTGCCCCTCCACCCTTGTCAAGGTTTTCCTGCTCAGAGCCAACTGCTCCTTCATGCCCTGTAAGGATGTGGTGTGCCAATCAAACAGATCACAAAAACCGAGTTTCTTATGCATTGGCTGGGAATAGCTAAGGAATGGGAAACCTGAGGCCTCAGAATAGTTAAGATTACATTTTGCTGCTCATGCTGAGATTTATCAGAAGTCTGCACACTTGCCAAGATGCAGATTTGCTGCCCTGATTCCTGTGTCCTTCTAGGGACACTAAGAAAGAAAACTGCTTCCTCTTTCATCCTTCTGGAATAGCCTCTTCTTCCTCTGAAGAAGCTCCACGAACACCTGAATAAGTTACACAAAAGTGGCGTTAATCTCTGTGCCCCATTTCACACCCAAGCCTTTTGCTTGACCCATTCCTTTATCTGCTTTAGTTGTAAAATCTCAGAATATTTTTCCCCCTTCAGATCAGCGCTGAGGCAGTATTTACTTCTGATTCATTCCAGTTTAGCTATTTAAATCTTTCCCTGTGTTTCACAGTTACCATTTAAGGTTGGTATTTCCCTGGGGCTGCTGTTTATCCAAGAATAGAATTTGATAACAGAGAATATTTTCCAGAACTTTATGAATGACCAGAGTGTTTAAAAAACAAACGTAGCTCTCCCAGTAGCCTTTTTGCTGCTATTGATTTCCGATAGTGACTGTTTTCTCTGGTAGGTGTTGTTTATCTCTCCCCTGTGACAAGCCAGACTCTCCCTGCTCCATCGTAAGCTGTTCCTTCCCTACATGGCTCTCCCACACTGCCCTTACGGCCTCTCTACACGCACCCGCTCATCGTCTCTCCCTCCTCCTGTCTGGGTTATGTTGCACCTCCCTGTCTTTCCCTGGGTGACGGGACACCCTCCTGTGCCGTGTCACTCCATAACTGGCCCCAGCTCCCATTCGAATGATCATCAGCAGGAAACGAGGACGTAACAGCCACATGAACGAGTGTTTTTGCGGGAGAAAGTTCAGCTCTGTGATCGCAGTGCCTCCTCGGAGCCCCTTCCGCTTTCCGTTTCCCCGGGCTTGCCCATCCACGCTGGCATCTGTGCGTTTTCATGCCGCCTTCTGCTGCGTGTGACCCTCACCTCCCCGCCCAGCCCCTTCCCTGCTGGGCTCCCCAGGCCCCATCTCCCTTGGCGTGCTGGGCTCGTGGGGCTCCAGCGCCAGCTCCTCCTGCCCCGTTGGGCAACGAAACCCCTTGTGCCTGCTGCCACAGGGCCACCCCAGCCGACGCCACTTCTCTGCCAGCCGCACCTCCAGCCTAGCACAGGGCACTGTGCAGAAACATGCAGATATTGCAGATAGCTCTCATCAGTGGCCCTTTTCTTCGATGCCAGGATGTCCATGCCTCGCGTGCCCGCTGTGCCGGTCTGCTGACGGCACCGGCAGTGCTGGGGCGGTGGTGGGACCCCCACGCCGCTGACGTGCCTCTCTGCCCGCTCACCCAGGTGCTGGCAGGGCTGCACTTCCTGCACAAGCGCTGCCGCATCATCCACGCGGACATCAAACCGGAGAACATCTTGCTGTGCGGACGTGACAAGACCCTCCAGAGGCTTCTGCCCGACACGCTCGACTGCGGCCAGAGAACAGATCTGAGGCTAGAGGGACCAGGTGAGAACTTTTTAACAAGAAAAGAGACTTACGCGTTTATTGTCAGGAGGGAAACAGAGAGGCAGCAGGTACAGACATCTTGGGAAAGGTTCCCATCTCCTGCAACGGCTAGTACGAACCAGTACCACCAGCTTATGCTGCCGAGAGGCCTCTCCTATCGCTGCTTAATGCAAACTTCCGGCTGAGCGGCTACAAGCTACTGAAGGCACCCACAGAAACGCAGTCCTGCAGGTAGGTTTGTGTGGAGGACAACTACAGACCACGGGCATCTGTTAACAGCCCCCCCACCAGCTCGGAGCTCATTTGTATGGCTTTAGGTACAGGGCAGTTCCCTTGTGTCTGGCGTTCTCAGCCACTGAAAGATTAACACATAAAATGGTTTGATCAAAAAGCTGTAGGACACTTCTGCTCTTTATTTCCCATATTTCTGAGGTCTGTGGGAGACTTGTATGTACTGCTCATCTTCACGGCCTTTTGAGACATAATTTATTTGCAGAGAGTGGTGTGAATATCAAATGAGACGTAGGTCTGGAGAGACTCTTGAGAGATCAGCTCATCTCCCAGCAGTGAGACCCTTTATATTTTCCTTGCACGATGGTCTCCCAGGAGCATTTCTCCCACAATCGTGCTGTTTTGTCACTCAAACTCTGGAGCAATCAGGGAATGCTAAATTAGCGACGGAGTCTTGCTCGGAGCAGGAAGGTGCAGTATTAGACATAGACTAACAGCTCAGCGTAAAGCAGTAAACCAAAAATGACCCTTTTCCGGGGTCATAGGAAAATGTGACCTTTATGGCGCTTGCCAAGCCGCCTGTGTCCAAGCTCCGTGACGGCTGGGATTGCTGAAGGCTAAGGAGGCCTGGCAGATGCTTTGTGTCTGACCAGTGCTGGCACAACGTGCTCTCCTCTGAGCCCGCAGAAACCTAAGTGCTAGAGGAACCTTGCATCAGGACAGGAGCACACGGTCGCACCACTCCACCCCAAGCTATTGTCCTCCCAAACATCCTCGTAGATTTGGACTGGATACCAGCTCTTCTTTTGTTTCCTCAAAAAACAGCGGTGGCATTTTATTGATGATAAAAAGCATTTTAGGATGTTTTAGGCTGAAAAACTTTAAAGGCAGGCATATATGCCTCCCTTGTGGTAAGTGATGCACACCTGCTGGTTTGGAAAGACTTGCTTTCTCTCTGTCCTTTCCACCTAGGAGGTGATCTTGGCAATCAATTGGAAGAATCGGATCTAATGAGCATAGAAGTGAAAATCGCAGATCTGGGCAGCGCATGCTGGACAGTGAGTCTGCTCCGAGTCTCAGTCCCATGACGACACGGGATGCTGTGTGCTCTTTCCATGCCACCTTGGGGGTCTGTCCTTTTACAGCTGAACAGTTGTTTCGGTGTGCTGAAGAGATGCCGATTTCGAAGGCTGTTATATTCAGCACTCCCAGCTCAGAGCTGGGCCCTGTGCTCCTGGAGATGCTGTCAGCTTTGGATGTTTCTTCAGCTTGCAGTTAGTCCTTACAACTATAGATTCAAAACTGTGTTCAGTGTGAAACGTCAGCAGATAAATTCACCCTGGTGTCAGTGGGGCTGATAATGTTCCTGCCGTGCCCTGTGCAGAGTTTAGTACACATACTCAGTTCTGCCCCGCAGCGTCCTCCTCGCTCTGCGGGAAGCTTGTGACCACAAGCGCTGCCGTTACTCGTTTATGGATGCTAATCAAGGGGAGTTTGTTTCCGTTTCAGTACAAGCCTTTTTCCAAGGAGATACAGACCCAGCCGTACCGCGCCCTCGAAGTGCTTCTTGGATTAGACTACGGCACTCCTGCGGATATCTGGAGCATGGGCTGCCTGGTAGGACAGGGGACAACGCTGCGCGTGCAGGGGAGGCGACTGATGCTAACAGGGCAGGGCAGCATGTCCTCAGCACCCGCCTACACCCTCTGCATGGGGAGCAATGCATCCTTGCCGAGAAGCAGGAAGGGGCTGGCTGCAGTCATTCACTTTGGATTGAAAGTATCCTGCTGATAAAATTCACTCTTAGTTTATGGTATAAGGCAATTCACACTCCACGTACGTTAACTCATAGGCTTGACTGAATCAGACACACACTGCTTTTCATCCCGACGGAGCGAAAGGTGTTGTTTCACCACGGTGCAGACCAAACCAGTCCAACTATTTCTGTATTTCAGGATCGGTTTTGTGGGACAGTAAGGGAAATTGGTACTCTCAGTTAACGGGGAAGAAAAACCCCAAGTCAATTAGTGAATTAACAATGCTACTCCATTTCTAGGCATTTGAAATGGCAACTGGGGAGTGTCTATTTGATCCTCAACCTGGGAAATATTTCTCCAGAGATGATGGTAGGACTCCATCAGTTTTATTCTTTTCACTGACAGAAGTGTCACAAACTTTGTATCTACATGTGTTTTCCCTCCCTCTGTCCAGATCACGTTGCTCGTATTATTGAACTCCTGGGACGAATTCCTCCCCAAATTGCTTTGTCCTGGAACAAGTCAACAAAATTTTTCAGCAGGCCAGGTAAGAACTGGAGTAAGGAAGTTTACTCTAAAAAAATACTGTGGATCTCTGACATTCTCCCGCTCAGCTCACAGAGCTTTCACCACAAAAGTTATGTTACACAACGCAGGCTACAAGCAGGGACAGAACACAAGCGGAGGTTTCATAAAGAGCAGTAGCACTCCCTGCCCTGCCTACCTTTGCAATCCAGGAGCATTCCAGGTACGAATGCAAAATCCTGAAAAACGGTAATAGCAAACACCCAACAGGGAAAACATTTCCATTCTTTCTCCTTTGGATTTGGAGAGAATGGAAATACGCACAGGAAATAGGTACATGCCAGGGAGGCTGAAAAGTGTGTAACTGGCTGGATTTCACCCGTGCACTTGGCAGAGAACAATGATGATCAGGAATGGGACACACATCCTTCCAACGGGGCTGCTATAATTAGTCTTCCGACACAACCGTAACGTCTCTTCTGTTTCATTCTCCCCAATTCCTTTCCCTTTGACTCACCAGGCTTGAGATCCTTGCCTTTGAGTTCAAAGCCTCACATGACTCCACCCTTCTGCAATTTAGTCTATCGTCCTCTTTCTCTGCTTTCACACTCACCAGCCACACAGCCTCAGCCTACCCACAGTCCGTGACTGTCGAGTGCTAGTCCCATGCTGTAGCTCAGCAAGCACCTCCCTGCGCAGTCACATCCTTCACTCACACTTCTTCCTTCTATGGCGCTCAAAAGAAATGAGTCGAAACTAGCCCTTGTTCTACATTTGCTCTCCATGTGAGTCAGATGCCCTGACCATGCACACGCCTAACCTGAATCGCTACACTTGCTCCTGGGGACAAGGATGGCTTCCCGGTCAGTAGTGGCACCCTTCTGGGCCCCGCAGAGCTAGGAGACACAAAGCACATGAAACATTAGTGCCTTGCGAGCGCTGGCACGGAACCGGCCTGACGCACTCAGGGCTGCCTGCGGGCAGGCAGCGGGAACACGCAGCGACGGCTCCGGCACGGCCGTTCTGGGAACGCTTCACGCGCCCTCGGCGCCCGCTTACCAAAGCAGCACTCGGGAGGGGGGAGACTCCAAACGCCAGCTCGGCAAGCTGACTTCCCAGCAGCACGCCAGAGCCAAAGGCGCGAGGGGCAGCGCAGGTGAAGGCCAGCGAGGCGGGAACCCGCGGGAACCCTCCGGGATCCCCGGGAGGAGGTGAGGCGCGGCGGCCTCTCGGCCTCG